GCCTGGATTTGGAGCTACACACAAAATTAAAGTGAAATGTTCCCTTTATTTTTTTGAGCAGTATATATAGCTTTAGGGTAGTTTTTCTCAAACTGTGGTCCCTGGACCACTGGTGGTCTGTGGGTCCCCCCCAGTGGTCCACAAGGTACTGCATGTAAACGACCCTTTATTTGGCGTGACATGACCTCAAAGTGCGGCGCTACAGTTAGTTTACCAAAGGATTGTGTTAAAAAGTAACGATGGAAAACTAGCTTAAAACGGGGTTACTCAAAATAAAAAACTGCAAAATATTTTTAGTTTCTCTCTCATTGTATTATTTTGTGTGTTGGGAACTGGGGTTTTGGCTCTTTGTGGGCATTTTTTGTTTCCTTGTCTGTCTGTTGACATCTAGCAGCAGACATCGGCTAGATGGTGCCAAGAGTGGTGCACTTACCTGAATATGGAAGTGAATCCATATTCAGCGCACCTGTGATCAATCACCTCATCATCTAGGAGTATATGAGGAGCGGCCCACGTTGAGAACCACTATGCTATACAAATAAAATTTGATTGATTGATTGACCTGTCCATCTGATTGGGTCTGTAGCAAAATAGGGGTTATAAAATATTACAACTATTGGGGCAGGTGAAAGAAGGCCAGGTATGGCTCTCACACCAATCCTTTCATTGTTTGGATTGTCCACTCCCATGCTTATTCCTTCATACTCACCATCCTTAAGGATTCTGATAAGGTTGCATAGTTTGGTATAAATTTCATCAGAAATTCACAAAGCATCAGGTCTGGATGCTATGTACTATGACTAGTAGATACTATATCTTCTTCACTTGAAAACTGGACTTTGAGTCCAGTTTAATTCCTGTTTTGGTGATCACATGTCTGAGTGTCTCAATCTGATGTAATCCAAAGATGCACTTGCCTCTGTTGAGGATTAGACAGCTGCTAATCCTCAACAGAGGACAAGTAGTACCATTGATATCATTTGATAGCAGAGATTGAAGGTTGTTTTAAAAAGTTGAAACAAATTAATGAGAGAATCTAGGCCTGTCTCAGTTTTTTGTTTTTAAATTATTATGTTGAACCACAATTCAAAAGCAATGTCTGATTTTCATAATTTCTGTATATAAACAATAGGGTATTGTGTTTATTTTGTTGACAATACCTTGGCTGTTGCTTGGGCTCGAACCTCTGGACCTCCAGCAATATCCAGTGTGTCATATAGCTGCTCATATACCTAAAAAATAATGACAGAAAATAAAAAAAAGAACATGTGATAAATGTGAAGGATACATGCAGAGCACTTTGTGAAAGCATTCATATTATTTTTATCTTTTTCATTTTGTATTATAATAGCTGCAAACATGGGATTTTCTTGGGACTTTATGTGACAAAGTGCAGAATTACTAAGTGGAAGGAAGTGAATTCATGGTTGGTACTTTTTTCCAAATTAATTCATAAATAACTTCTTTAGCACTTTGCAGTCAATTAATATATAATCAATTCAATACAGTCATCTACATACAGTGCTGTGCTGTATACTAGGTATAGAACACTGCAATTGACCTTAGTTAAAAAAATAAATTAAAAAACGCAGCAGATTGCAGTGAATCACTGACTTTGCAGCAATCTTCATGTTGAAACAGTAGAACTACCTTAACAAGAAAAGGCCAGCAGAGAGTGGCTTGCTTTTGTATTCTTTGGGTCCTTTTCTGTTAACAACTTAATGCAGTTGGTTTGACTTTCTTAGATTGAGAAACTTTTATCACATGACATTTAAGCAAATTTAACTTCAAGTTCAGTTCAAATTCAAAAATACTTTATTAACCACAAAAGAAAATTAAATGTTGTAACTCAGTTTAGGTTCTGGAAGTCTGAAGTAGACAAAATGAAAATGAGTACACTTTGTAGTGCTTCTTTTCTACTGATCACCTGGTTAGACACGTAATCGTCCAGTCTCTCAAACTGTGGTCTGTTTGTCACCTAATTACGTAGAGTTTTGACAAAGCAAATTAGACCGAATTGCGTTAAATGCACTGGAGAACATAATTCTCACAGTTCTGCCTGCTTTGACCAGATGAGAGAGGGTTGGTTAAGCAGGTGTATGATCCATCCATTCATCCACTATCATACATGTTTATTCCTAGTAGGGTCATCAGGGGTGCTGGTGCCTATCTCCAGCAGTTAACAGGCAAGAGGAGTTTATATTCTGAGGAGAGAAAAATGTTATGTTAAAGTGGAGCCTAGATGAAGGGTATGAACATGAGGACAAAAATATGTAAAAAATCAACTGTGCCTCAGTGGTTTCGATACAGCCAGCTGGCTTAAGACCTGACAGAATGGGGCATTCAGCATGACACTGAGCAGGTAACATGTTCATGCTCTCATGCTTCCCATACCACTTTGTTGTTATGATTATGGATGGCCAAATTTTAAAAAAAAAAGCAAAAATATCCTTCCAGCTACACATGACAAGAGAAAATAATCAAATAATGACCCCCCAAAAAATTTTCTACCAGAAACAGAGGAGTTAAGGTTTAAAGGGAAAACAATTCAGAATGAAAACAGAGCTACTACTCAAATACACTGCCACCTTCAGAAGCACAATTTTAGAATTTAAGATTATTTAAAAAGCATACTGAACAAAGATTCCAGTTTGCAAATGTTGAAAAAGACAGGAGGTTAAGCAAAGTAGCAGGTGGAATGAATACAAATGGAAGCCACACTTTTGAGATTTTGATTATGATTTGTTTTTTACCTTGTATTCTTCTCTTTTGACTTTACAAATGTTAAGCCCCTTTCCCCAATGCATTGAAGTTTGTAGTTTGAACTCAGACAAAATAAATAAAAGCTTTAAGGTCAGACCATATGACAGAAAGATGAAAACAATGAGGATATATAGCCCTTGAAATTTGAGCCTATACATTCATCAAGTGTACCTCCCTGATGGCAGCACAGAATTTGCTTTGCAGAACTCTCTGTAGGGCCTGCAGTTTGGGAGGCGGCAACTCCCCGGTTCTCTGCAGCCGATCCAGCAGCTCAATCACTCTGCACACATCTGAAAGACAAGCCTGGGTTACTGAAAAAAACACATACAACTGTTAATGAAGGTTCACTCAGTCTGATTTCTCTTTTCTTAAAACTTGCTCCTCAATAATTACAATGTTTGATGGACTCACCTTCACTGTATGAATAAAGGGTCAAACAGTTTAAGAAATTATGTTTTTCAGTGTGAAACCCACACATTCTTATGTGCAATTAAAAAATGGCCAATAAACCTTTAGAAATATTATCTAAAGGAAAAAAGCTAGAACCCTGCTGGAATTGGCTAGCAGGCAGGAACGGACCAAACATAGACATGCAGACACATACTGTTTGATCTTTTTATTCTTTCAAATTTCTTCCATGTATAAAAACTTCCAGTATGGATTTGCAGACAAAAACTTCTGCTGTCCACATTTTCAACAACTGAACCTGAAACATTTATGAATGTGAACTTGCCCCCAACTGCCTCTCATCTCTTACGCAGTCATTTGCTGAATAAGAATACTTATGCATAGCTATGGCTCACTCATAGAAGCAGAAATAACATTGTTGTTTAGAAGGCTTATGGTTAAGTTGATCTATAATTAAATTGTAATTTTGCAGTAAAATTAAATGCTAGAGGAATCATGATGCAACATGGGTGCAATTCTCCACCTCGCCATCTGCAGAGCGTAGCCAGTTTTCCCGGTCTCCAACACCAGTTGGATGTCATGAATTGGTGTAGGGGTGGTGAGGAAGAATGCCAAGGACCCAGGTAGAGAGATAAATGATGGTTTAATGAAGAAGAACAGACTCAAACAGTCCATGATCTGGCAGCACACTTGAACAGAGGCTAGGCTCACTCTGGTAGCGACAGAAACTAAACAGACTGCTTATGAGAGCTGGAGACTCAGAACAACGGTTCTATTGTGCCGACTAACTACTGAACTTGACAGCAAACGACAAGTCACACAACAGTCTAGACAACAGCTAGACACAACAAGAGAAGGACCAACGAAGAGACAGGTGACTTTAAATAGACAGAGGGTAATCATCGACATTGGATCAGAGTTTGCACATTGGTAAATGGTAAATGGCCTGGACTTGAAAATGTTTTGTGTTATGACCCATCTGTGTTATAACTCTAAACATTCATCAAGTGTACCTCCCAGATGACAGCACATAATTTGCTTTGCAGAATTCTCTGTAGGGCCTGCAGAGAGTTCCTACAGAGGAACTTCATGTTGTGATCCTTCACAACATTAAACATCCATCCTCTTCAGATCTCAAGCAGCCAACACACAAAGTTGAACATTTTATAATGTTATTTTAAAAAGATGTATTTTTGATTGAGATTTTCCAACAAGTGGAGCATATGGCTTCAGTGAGCTATAACGCAGAAAAAAACAAAAACAAAAGGAAACTATCCGAATATTACCAACTTACCTAATTGAAAGTAAATAAACCAAATGACAAAACTTACCTCCCTAATTAAGAAAAACACAAGAAAACTAAGAAAACAAACACAGCTCACTCCTAGAACTCAAAGAACTTTACAAGGTGTTAACAGACAAACAGTGTGGCCGTTTGAGATGAGCTGAGGATGGATGGCAGGAAGTCCATGTCAGTAGCTTTTATATCCCTCACCTCCAGGAGGCCACCAATTGGACGTCTCCGGTGTCTTCTAAGAGCCAATCAGGGACGGGTACCTGGACACTCACGTTTGTATGATTAAATTTACAACGCCAGTCGTAACACCCCTTTCCCAAGAATTAAACACGCCCCTAAGTGTTTAATTCAAATGAGAAATTAAAAAGTTCTAGACAAAGCATCAGGTAATACATTAGCCTTACCCTTTTTGTAGTTAATCTGTAAGTTAAAGTCGTGCAGCAGCAAAGACCAGTGCATCAATCGGTGGTTGGAATTGCACATTTGGGAGACAAAAACCAGCAGGTTATGATCGGTAAACACTTGTACAAGTTGCACACTGGAGCCAATATAAACTTCAAAGTTCTGTAACACAAGTAACAAAGCAAGAGCTTCTTTTTCAATTGTGCTGTAATGAAGCTGATGTCTGTCAAACTTTTTTGAAAAGTAGCAGACAGGATGATCTATGCCTGGCTCATCTTCTTGCAGAAGAACAGCTCCGGTGCCACACAAACTTGCATCAACTTCGAGTTTAAAGGGACACTCAAAATTTACCGCAGCCAGCACTGATGCACTACATAACGATGCTTTAACGGACTCAAACACAACCTGACAAGAAACAAAGGATTTCAAAGGACTGGCAAGTTCAGTCAGTAGACTAACCACATCTGAAAAATTTCTGCAAAACCCGTGATAAAAACCACACATTCCCAAAAATCGACGCAAATATTTTTTTGTCTGCAGGACAGGAAAATCAATTATTGCCTGCATTTTAGCAGCAATAGGACACATTTTACCAACCTGTTTTCCTAGGTAGGTGATGGTGACTTTACCAAACTCGCATTTTGAAAGATTTAATGTGAGAGAAGCATCACAGAAACGACTGAGCATCTCTGAGAGTGTTTCCAGGTGTTCTGACCAAGTAGTAGAATAAATGACTACATCATCCAAATATCTGTGACAGACTGGCGAACTGTCCAGGGTGTACCCCGCCTCTTGCCTAGAACATTAGCTGGAGATAGGCACCACCACCCCTCCTGACACCACTAGGGACAAGGGTGCACAGAAAATGGATGGATGGATGGATCATCCAAATATGCGTCACAATTTTTCACTCCAAATAATACCTTTTGTATTAAGCGTTGGAATGTAGTGGGTGCGTTACTCAACCCGAAAGGCATAACAGTATATTGGAGGAAATAATCAGGAATTACAAAAGCAGAAATCTCAGAAGCTCTAGGTGTTAACGGGACTTGCCAGTAACCTTTTAACAGGCCCAACTTTGTGACAAATTTAGCTGCACCAACACGATCAATACAGTCTTCCATTCTAGAAAGTGGAAAGAATCGGGCTTGGTGACAGCATTAACCTTTCTGTAACTGGTAAAAAAACAAAATGTTTTACCTGGTTTCGGGACTAGAATACAGGGCGAACTCCATGTGCTGTTACTGGGCACTGCTAAACCAGGTTCAACCAGGTAAGTTGAACATGTTGCATTAAAACATGCTTTGTTGGATTTATTCTATAAGAGCCATAGGCATGCAACCGCTGTTCTCCCTCAAATCATCATCTGCAAGATGACATGAACAGGGTGAAGAGCAAACAGAAACAGGGGCAACAGAAGAGTTTTTATCTGCAACGCCTTTTCTGGAAACATAACATTTGAGCATGTTAATATGACAAACCCTTGTTTTTCATTTTGATCAGGAGTCTTAATCCCAGTTTGTCTTGTTTATTTTCTAACAAAAAAGAGTGATAACCACCTGTATTTCTAAGGATTGTGACTGGAATTTTATCCTTTTCCTCACCAGTAAGAAACAAAACCCTGCAAAATGAATGGCAAAAACTTTGGCTCAACATCAACTTTGGGTTTTTGTTGAATGTCACCGCGCACATTCGGCTGGGAAGCTGAATTTATTTAATCCCACATCCACAGGAGTTTTTATGCTTTTAGCTTCTTTTTTCTTTAAGACTGGGCATGCAGCAATTAAATGTCCAGGTGCGTGGCAATAAAAGCAATCACAACTGTTTGCTTTTGAAGCAACTGATGGCATATTTTGATGCACTGACCTTGGAGATGCATTTTTTTCGTTTGCATAAATTTTCCTGAAACAAATTTTGTGAAGAAAAAACACTTTTGTGAGTCAAAATAAATTTGTCAGTTAAAAGTCCTGCATTTATTAAAGATGATACTTTCTGTTCATTTACATAAGTCACAATCCATTCAGGCAGACACTTTTTAAACTCTTCCAACAAAATGAGTGATTTCAGATCATCAATAGTTTTATCTTTACACAAATGACACT